AAAGGTCAACACGTACGATGGAGGACGTAATCAAGACGGAAGAGCTTATTGACTATTTACAGAGGCTGGAATATTTGGATTTCATAGAGGCGGATTTCGTAATTTTTCAAAAAAAGAATTGCCTTCCTCGAAATGACTAAATCTGATTTCCGGGAATGTGGTTTCGAAATATTAATATATCATTAGTATTAGTAAAATTTATCGAGGATCTCAGAAAATCCGAAGCTTTTCGTCGTACAAAACTCTGGATGAGTAAAGTCAATGGAGAGGATATTACGTATATCAAGCAATTCAATCCAGGTAAATTATGTGAGTTATCTGATTTTTTTACGGTATTATATAACAGGCTAATAAGTATTTTCGGTCTATAGTTTTTGAGGAAATTGATGATGATAAAGCGCTTGAGCAATGTATGAACGAAATTACGTTAAGACTTACGAATCTGGAAACAATGCAGGATAGTACCAATGAAGCCACGCGTTGTATATTTATTACATCGATACTAAATGCTTCTCTTCTCTGGCTATCGTTCGACGGCTTACCAATAAAGAAAAAATCTATATAGCATACCAAAAAGGGGTTTCCGGTGAGGAGGTATCTGGTCGTGTCGATTTTGCAATAAAGGAAACGAAGATCTTATGTGCATAGCAGAGTAATGTCGAGATCGGTTATCTCCAAAACTAGAAAGCGCACGTCATATGAATAAAGGGAAGTGAACCGCAGAGCAGGCATTTGATAACGATGATGATTATCTTTACGGGACAGTCTCTACAGGTATAATTGCCGACAAATATCTATTAGTTGTATATATTGCATGTCAGTGCCGATATATAGCAAAGCTAATGACTATGACATTTTATTTTCTGATTATTGTTATCTTATTTTTACATAGCTACGGAATGGCATTTTATCAAGCTCAGTACAGAAGGTCTGTATTGCACCAGCAAAAGCGAATATCGGATTAATTTATCCAAGACAGCATTGAAAGAGGATATTGAATCGATTAGGAAGCGTGTTAAAATAATAATTGGGGTGGTTGTGGGACTGTTGAGGGATAGGATTACGATGTGCGATGAACATGAAGTTAAAAAACGCCGTATTCAAAAAGCTAACACATGATGGATTTTTTTTTCTGTATTTTATTCTCTATATATGTACCTGGCATCTGTATGTCTAATAAAGCGAATTTATTTTTATGAATTTGAAAGCAATTTTATATGATACTGCATATAAAAAAGTGTCAATCGTGTCATTGATGTCACGGTTGGGTAGTTACATAGTAAAAACAGCATCATTAGACCTCCTATTTTTTCTGAGATACATATTCGATATTATCCATACTTAACGCATGTGGCCGTAAATGTTTAATAATTACCATTCGTTGATAGTTATCATCACTAATACGGAAAAAAGATCGTGTTCTTTCTATTTGTCCTCTATCCAAGCTTCAATTTTATCTACCGATTTTTTTTCGGAGAATTTTGTTTATAAATTTTGACGAGCAAAAGAAAGAAGCTGAACTTCGAGGCTAAAAGAATCAAAAAGTACAAAGATAGAACTACCACCCTTACCCTTCTTTCCATCGTCCATGGCCCGCAAGGCCGCGGCGGTTAGTAGCTCGCCGATATTAAAAGGCACAATCTTTTTACCGTTGGGGTAGAAAGTTTCGCGAAACTCGTTAAAGTGTGCAACAGCATGAGGAAAGGTTTCAAGAAGGCGGTATATACGTCCCTATTCTTGCTAAATTCCTGTCGCGTGATCAATAAATTCGAACTTTTCTTAAATTACTGATCCTAGACTGTGTAAATATTTAACGAAAGAATGGCGCTCCCCATAAAAAGCACAACTTCCCTATATAAAGAATCCAGTTATACTTGTCAGCTTTGTTAGATGAAAAAACGAAATAATTTCGGTATTAACTGAAGTAAATAAAAGAATAGGTTAGTCATGCGTTTCGAAGCAGACCATATTAGTATTTTTAATTAATTGTATACAAAAAATATTATCTTAAATAAATCCGCAAATGACGATGAAAGCTTGATTTGACTTTAACGATTGAGTCGGCAAGTTGATTGAGCGCACAACACACACTCTTGACGACTTATAACGAACCACAACCTTAATTATGGGATAACCTCAGTTCTTCAGAATTATAAGTCAGTGCATTGTCTTCTATAAGCGCAAGCCAAAACAGGTGCCCTGAAAGAATAACCGCAGTTTTTGACCAACCCTGAAGTGGCTTACGTTATAGGGTCAAGTAATCCTCTTGCTAAAATATTCAGAGAATAAATAACAAAAATCAGTAAAAGTAAAAATATGATTACGCTTAACAATACTTACAGAGCATCACTTGTATTTCTATACGCGCGCTCACAGTATAACTCTTGACAACCAAACGTGAGCCACAACTTCAGAGAGTTATGGGATAACCTCAGTTCCTCTGAACGCTCAGTAGTTATACTGTCTTCTGTGGGAGAATCTGGTTACAAGTATGCCTTCTAAACCCTCTGAGGAAACAGGACCTACTTATGCCAGATTACATCTCAAGGTACAATCTGTTGTAGGAAAATATGACTACCGTAAACTCTCGTGAATAAGAGCCCACCATGAATAAAAAAATTGCAGGTCATGCGTCTGTTATTGTGACACAACTGTATTCTGACCAACGAAAAACTTTGAACTATTCCAAGATCTTCAGAAATTGGTTATATTAACGTGACCGTATGTACGACGTCTTCAACCAGTCATCAGCTTTGAAATATTGTGTCGCAAACAGATAATTGCGCGCTCATATAA